CAGCCATGCCTGCGGACTGCCGGACGGGAGGTCGGCGCTCGAGCGGCCGCGCCTCCGCGCACCTGGCGCAGGTGAATCCGCAGCGCGCCCTCTGCTGGCCGAGGGAGGACTGCGCGACCCCGCCCCGCGCCCGGGTACGTGCGGGGCCCCGCGTCCAGCTGTCCTCACCCCTCAGGCCTCTGCACCAGGAGTCTGCAGACGGGGCCTGGGAACAGGGGCCAGTGAGGGCATGGCCGCACCTGAGAAGGGTCCATACCTGCGGACACCCCTCTGCGCCGCCTGTGGACTTGGTGCTGGTGCCAGGAAGACAGGGAGGCTTCTGTCTTCCTTGCCCCCCAGGTGGACACAGGTGTGCACCCTCCCTGATACCCCTGGGGGCAGTGATGCTATCCCAGACCCTTCCACTTCCACCCCTCCCAGGGATCTTCAGAACCCCCACTTGACCTCTAGACCCGGTTTCCAGGCTCCCAGGAGGAGGGGCAGAAGCTGTAGTATGCTCTGAGAGGACGGAGGGCTCTGGACCTGCGATGCCACCCCATGTCCCCATCATCTACCAGCTCCCTCCTGTGCCGCGTCCTCCCACATCCCCTCCTCCTGGACCCCTTTCTTATGTATCCCCTTTTATGTAGCCCTCTTCCCATATCCCCCTCCTCCTGGGCCCCCATTGCTGGCCTCTCCTCTGACCCCTCCACATCTCCTCCTGGACTCTTTTCCCATTCCTGGGCCCCACCTACAGGAAGGGCTGTTCCCAGCACCCCATGTAGTCAGCTCTCTGTGCAGCCACAGACCCCCTGACTGGGCAGGCTACTGCCACAACTGGGGCATCCTAGCAATCCGCCCACTACAGCTGGGTAGGGACCACCTGGCCAAGTGGGTGCTGGGCCTTGAGTTGGGGGGGGCTGGCTGTGCCCTGAGTTGGGAGGGCACCTGGCCAAGCAGGTGCTGTGCCCTGCACTAGCAGGGGGGACACGTGGCTGAGTGGGCGCTGTGCCCTACATTGGGGGGGACACCTGGCTGAGGGGTTGTTATGCCGTGAGCTGAAGGGGGGACACCTGGCCAAGTGGGTACTGTGCCCTGAGCTGGGGGACACACCTGGCCGAGTGGGTGCTGTACTCTGAGCTGGGGGGACACACCTGGCTGAGCGGGTGCTGTGCCCTGAGCTGGGAGGACACCTGGCTGAATGAGTGCTGTGCCCTGAGCTGGGGGGACACACCTGGCTGAGCGGGTGCTGTGCCCTGAGCTGGGAGGACACCTGGCCCAGTGGGAGGGGACACACCTGGCCTAGTGGGTGCTGTGCCTGAGCTGGGGGACACACCTGGCTGAGCAGGGCTGGGCTGTGAAGTCTGAGATGCTCCCCAGGTGGGTGGAGCTGAGCATGTGGACTGCCACTAGGTCAGTGAGGACAAGGGGCTGACGTCACATCAGATGCCCTCCCAGGTCCAGCTGAAGTCCTAAGGGGAAGCCGCTGGAAGTCCTTCTTGAGGAGATTTTCACTGAAACTCCACCTGCCTGCTAGGCGTTCAGCTGGGCACAGGCCCTTCCCCCACCGGACCCTCACAGAATATAAATAGCATGTGGCCAGCAGGGGGTCGGGAGTTTGTCTAGGACTGGCCCCACCCTGGCCAGCAGCTGCACTGGCTGGTCACAAGGCCAGGCCTGAATTAGATTACTCTGGCCAGGCGGTGGCAGCCCAGGATTCATCATCTGAGACTGGGGCAGGTGGCCAGGACGAGGCTGAGCCCTGAAAGGCCTGGGGCCTCCTGGCTGGATCACAGTAGTTCTGGGGCCATGCTCCCTGCGGAATCAGAACAAGGCTGTGGGGTCCTGACTGGCCTCTGGTGGCCTGCCTGATGACCTAGCCACCCTTCAGGACACCAGGATCTGTCCACTCTGGGTCTGGTACTGGCCCTGCCTGCCCCGTGTTACATGCCATGCCTCCATCCAGAGACCCAGAGCGGGGTCAGGGACCCCACCTGCTGCTTTCCCCTGGTAGATTTTCCTTAGAGGTGTGGGCAGTGCCAATCCATATAGCTCTGAGGGATGGGAAGCCTTTTGGCAGGTCCTCAGAACATTAATCACACACATGGCAAATGGCCCAGCTGCCCACTGCTGTCATGGAAGCAATGGTGTCCCCCAGACATGGCCTTGGGCTCCAGGGTTGTGGCCTCTGTCCAGCAGTCTGAAGTAGGAGGTCTCAGTCTGGGATGCCCTACAAAACCCAATCTCTGAGGAGCCCTGGGGCCACTGTGCATTCCCTGCTAGGCTACTAGCCAAAAGGCCAGAGGTTCAAATCCACCAGCCTCTCCAGTGGGGGCAGGGGAGGCAGCTTGGAGTAAGAAGACTGTGACAGCGGCCATGGCCTTGGGTTGGTGCATGTTGACCGCAGGGCCAGGAGCGCAGGTCTTCCCCGGGGGTGTGCAGGAGTGTCACAGGGTGTCTCAGGAGAGGAGACCCTGGGTCCCACCAGGAAAGGACAGCCAGGCATGAGGGTGCCCTGTAAACACAGGCCCTGTGTGCTGAGAGCCTGCTAGAACCAGCACCGCTGCCCAGACACATGGCGGCTCCAGGGCACACTGGATTCTGGTGTTAAAGGGTACCAGGACCATCTAGAGTCGGAACCCTGAACTTGGACTTCCAGACTCCTAAAATAAGAAAATCAGTGTTTGTTAAAGTCACCCCTTTGTGCTGCTGCTGTTACACCCAAACCAAAAGCCACACCCACTGATGCCGGGTTGCTTCTGGCAGGCCAGTGTCTGAATCCAGAGTGGACTTGCCTGGGGTCCAGAGTGGAGCCAGTGCTTGGGTCTGGAGGGGAGTTGGCACCGTAGGTGAAGGGCGTCAGGGTCCAGAGTGGAGTCAAGGTCTGGAGTGGAGTTGGCGTCCAGGGTCAGAGGAGAGTCGGTGTCCGGGTCTGGAGTGAAGTTGCCCCAGAGAGTTTCAAAGGCTGCAAATCTTCAGAGACCACTGCCCCATTGCTCTCCAATAGAGGACTGGTGGGTTTGAACAGCCAACCTTCCAGTCGGCATCTAAGCTCTTTAACCTCTGCATCAGTATTGTGTGTTCCATCAAGTGGGAACCTACCTGTAGCCGACCCTCCAGCGGGTTTGAGAGGCAGGAAATCGCACGGGAGGAGACTGCACATCCTTCTCCCATGGTGCAGCTGGTGGACTTGGCACTGGTAGTGCGGCTCCTTACCACTAGGCCACCGAGCTCCCTGCTACACAGTTTGTTAGAGCAGCAGGAGACAACAAAGGCCCAGGAATCCACCCACAAAACTCCCCCAGATCCACTGGGGGTGTGGGTTCAGACTCAGTGACCCCACAAGGCAGAACAGCTTCATCTTTCTGGAAGCTGGCTGCCTCATCCTCCATGCAGCAGCTGGTGAAACTGAACCACCGACTTTTCAGTTACTAGCCTGATGTTAATCCATCACCAGAGTTACTCTCAACCTACCCAAGGGACGGGAGCCGCCATCCACGCAGAGCAGGTGGGCAAAATGACCAATGGTGCATCATGGTGCTTCTTAGGAAAGCCAATGTGTGGATGGATGTGGCCTCAGCAGATGCACTGGCCTCCCGTCGAGAGAGGTCAGGTCCCCACAGACCCTGCCTGCGGGGCCTTCTGACACTAAGCCCAGTGAAGGATCCAGGCCTGACCAGCCACGTTCTTGGAGTCCACTGGCAAGATGGCCGAGCATCACGGGGCCACGGAGACAGAGCAGTCGCTGGGTGGGTGGACGTGGGGAGTGACACGTCACAGGGATGGAGCGGAGGGTGGCTGGCCGGGTGGACATAGGGCGTGATTTCAGGCAATGGGACCCTGTGTGGCAGACGCTTTGTCTGCTGGGTGGCAGCACAGCCTGGTGGACGTGGGCTTCCTGGTGTATGTGATGGCTGGGAGAGCTGCTCATCAGACACTTGAGGGTGTGTGTGTGTGACAGCGGATAAACCAGTGAATGAACGAGCAGATGAACGGGTCTCTGAACAGACCAGTTAGTCAATGAGTGTAAGGGAATGGCTGGATGAGCGAGTGGGTGGGTGGGCGTGTGAGTGGGCATGTATGTGAGTGAACATGTGAGCGGGTGTGTGGGTGGGTGTGAGTGTGAGGGTGTGTGTGTGTGTGGATGTGAGTGTGCGTGAGCATGTGTGAGTGTGTGGGCGTGTGAGCGAGTGAAGCATAACCGAGTCGATGAGTGAAGGTGGGTAAGTGAACAGGTGAACTAACTGGTGGGTAAAGGCTGACCGAGTGAGTGGTGGATGGTAGTCACGTGAGTGCCCCTAATGCAGTCTTGGCTACTGTCCAGCAGAACGTGTAGTGTCACCCTGAACAAAAAGCCAGTGGGGCCTGTGGCTGGGCCAGCACCTGGTTCCTGACCTCAGGTCAGCAGATGCTCCGTGGGGAAGGGACAGTGCTGGCCTTGCTCTGTGAGAGTGGGAGTCTGACCACTGTAGGCT